TTACACACATAGAGAAATTATTTTAACTTAGAGTACCTAAAAGACTCACAGTTCAAATACTTTAGCTTCTCTTTCCTTTTTTTTTTTTTAGTATTTGAAAGATTTTGGGGAGCTATTTATTAGAACAGAGCTAGCAAAACAAAAACTAATCAGCAAAACTGGTTCTAGAAGGTCAGTCAAATTTTCAGAGAAAAACATTTATAGTTTTCTTTTAACTTTTACTTGTAATTTGTATGTGTAGTTTCAATGAGTCTTTAACTGGCTGTGCAACAGTCATGTAGGGTCAGTTTGGCTACATAAAAATAGACTCTTCACCCTAACTCTTATAATGCTCGTTTAAAGACGTGCCTAACACACTGAAAAATTTTTAAGGGGGGGAAAGGGGAATTTTCAGTGCACTAACTACTTCACACTGTCTCCATAGGTGGACACCATCATTGCATTTTAAGAAAGCCATCAAGTCATTCAGAAGAAGCAGTTTTACAGCAACTTATGAGTGTCTGAGCAGGCAGCTCCTGAGAAGGTTGAAGCTGCCAGCCCTGCTTTCTCTATACCTACTTCCCCATAGACTTATGGCATTGGATCAAGTGAAGTCTTTTAGTAGATTCTTTTGCTTGGCAGGAATCTAATCTAAAAATATGAAATTTTAATCTTCCTACATTTTTATCACATTCACTAGCCCCGGTAATTATCCCAATATCGTATTTAATAAAGGGTTCTCCATCCAAGGACTTCAAACTGTTTTTAACAATTAAAATGGCCTCGCATTCCAGTGAGGAAGTGAAGGAGCTCTTGCACAGAGGAAAGCTAAACCACAAAGTCATACAAAACTTTGCCAGGATTGGAACTGAAAATCTGTGGCACAGCCAGAAAAAGACTTCCTGGCTCCCAACCCTATGTCTCAACCATAATAAATTCCTTCCTGTACGTACACACACTCCAAGAGAAACTCTAGTAAATAGACTAAAAATGCATCAGAAGTCATCACTAATGCATGAAAATGATTGGATAAATAATAAATAAGATTTTGGGCAAAGAAAATACTATCCTGTCAGGGTTTCACTGCAACAGATAGCACAAGTCCTTTTGCATAAAGATGCCTACCCGAAGTGAGAACAAATGCCTTTACCATGATTCAGTCGTGCTTTTACAAGCAGTAACGTTGGTTTAGTTATAGAATAAAGGAGTTGCACGTGGTGCTATGTGTGTCTCTGACAACCTTAATTCTAACAGTGCATACTCGGGCTTTGGAAGCACTGCTAAGAGTTTATTATCATGTTATTAATGTTGAAGCTGTTCTCTTCCTCTGAAGCAAGAGCTTTTCTTTTAGTAATAGCATTGCTGCCAGACTAAATGCAGTACATAAGTCAAGTTCAACATTCATTTCACCTTTGACTACAACTTCTGTTTGATTCCAGCACTGAAGACAAGGGTACACCACTAGCCAAAACAACTCCAAAGGCTTGGAAAGCCTTCCAACACTTGTTTTATTTCAGTGCAATACATACCACTCAACCTGGACTTCTGAATTTAAGGGATCCTGTGTCCTAAAAGAGAGCAAGTGTCCAACTCTATGACACATAGGGGTAAGAGGAAGCAGCAGTTGTTGGTGGCAGTGTCCTATGGCTGCTCTAATAGCACACTGCTAGGGTTATAAGGACTTTTCCTCCTGGTGCCCTGTTCAACGCTGGAAGAAGTTTGCCACACACATCCAAAATCACTCAAGGGTGTAAAGAGACGTAGATTATCTAAACTCGAGTATCTAAACTCATAGAAGCAGATCTAAGCAGTAACCAACTGAAGAAACGTACAAAATCTGTCTGCTGCTGACGCGAGAGATGATTTCAATCATCTCATCAGCTCTCAGCTTTAAGGAGCCCACGCTCCCTCTCCCTCCAATGCCTCTTCAAGAGCCACAGGAAGCCTGTTGATGGAAACGGAGCCTTTGCTCATCTCGCACTAGCGACAAGTGACAGGTCCTAACTCATTCCCGTCTCTGATGCAGACAGACTTACATACGCACCTCCCTGCAGCAAGCACTAGCGACAAGTGACAGGTCCTAACTCATTCCCGTCTCTGATACAGACAGACTTACGCATCTCCCTGCAGCAGCAGCATTGTTTCCTTTGGAGAAAAACAAAACAAAAAAAACCCCAAAAAGCCCCACAACACAAAAAGCTCTTCGCATACAGGGCCCTCCCTGCAGCTGCTTCCTCTTGCCTACCCCTCCTCCCCATCCCAAAGGAAAATTTGCCCGTGACGAAGGAGCAGAAGCAAGGTCATTACCACATCAATTCTTCCTCCATAATAACTGATGGACTTTTTTTTTTTTTCTTTAAAGCATTGGGGCTTACTGAAGGCTTTTCCAAACCTGACGGCACAGCGCCCAACGTCTTGAAAAGGTGATCCAAAGGGAAGAAAACCACGCCATGAAGTTTTCTCCCAGCTCCTGCTGGATCCCAGCCAGAAGGGAGCTGCTCTCGACTCCTGTGGCCCACTAACGCAGGTTCTCCAGCCCAGAGAGGCTCACACAAATTAAGATGCTGCTTGATAACAGTCAGCCACGTCTAATTTAAGTTAAAGGGGGGGATGCAATTCACCTTTGCCATCCACGTTTTCATACTGAGTCAGACCGCCCGCTGCAGCCATATACCTCCTCGCTGAAACGCAATGCAAAGTAAAAACCTGTCACCTTGGGGTTCTCAAATCTTCTTCTGCAGGTGGAGAAACCCTGCAGCTGAACGCTATTTCTGGAAGCACATAAATATGACTTAGTTCTTCAATTAGTGATTTTTCAATTAGTAAGATGCACGTACTGCTTTGCACTAAAACGGTGTAAGGGGAAGAGAAAGTCCCAAAGCCAGCAGAAGCATATACCCAAGCCCCTAACATATAGCTCTGAGTAGTGCCCACGTTGGTAATAGGAACGCCAACATGGGACATGATAGAGGTGGTTACCCAAGCCCCTAACATAGAGCTCTGAGTAGTGCCCACATTGGTAATAGGAATGCCAACACGGGACATGACAGAGAAGGGGCTCTGAAGGACAAACTGAAGGCTGAGGATGCACCTTCACGACTGGTCTGAAACACATTTACCACAGCAAAACACAGTGTCCCTGGTCAGACACCCCCACACCTTCACCCAAGCAGGAAATCAAGTACTGATGAATATAAGACAGACCTACTCGTTTCCACTCATTTATCCCTCTTAACATGAAATATTGCTCCAGGTTTTCACACGTGACACCAAATTTCTGTAACTTCAGGGAGTTTCATTCCAGTAACTGAGCCTGCCCCACAGAGTTTTCCTGGGCAAACAAAGCTGGAGCAGGAAAACGAGCTCTGAGCTCCCACCTCCCCATGCAGAACTCGGGGGGCTCTTGCAGGAAAACTCCCCTTTCACCATGCAAGGCTGCTGGGAACAGGAACAACATCAAACCACGTGTTAAATTGTTGTGAGGAAAGCCAGGTAAGGACAGCTTTATGCTAAGGTACAAGTTAAGTTGGATACACAAGAAACTCTGCCAAGCTCACATTTTCATTTCTTGCTGAGAAGTGGAAAACACACAACACTTTTACGGTTAAGTATGAATTACAAAAATAGTCAAAAAAGGTTTCTTGTGGTTATAGCCTATTGAAGTGAAACTGCCTGATTTCACCTCAAAAAGATCAAGGTCAAAAAGAGTTTCACAGAAGAAGCTTACCAACACAACTGGAAATAAAATAAGCAAGACCCATTTTTGCATGTTTCTGAATTTTGCCTGACATGCCTCACCTTAAGAAATTATGCCAAAAACCCTGTGAAGTGCTATTATTTACTCTCCCTTACAGCAGACTAGAAAGGTTTTGCCCAGAGCCTTGCTTAGGTGCAACTGATTAAAATTTAGTTCAAAAGAACCATGCCACCCAGCCAGATATGAAAAGATTTGTTATTCTAAGACTTAGAAATAGACTGGTTTTGATGCCAGAAGTGAGTCTATCCAAGCTGTTGTTAAATAAATGAGTCTGTCTAAACTGAGATTTATCTCATATCTGCCCCTAAAGGCAATAAGAGCTGCTTTTTTTACATTTACTTAACAATTTAATTAGTCACAACATGTTTTCGTTTCATTAATCAGGGACTAATGGGAGTATTTTGTGCATGTGCGATAACTGGCCCCCTTTAAATTATCAGGAACAATTGCATAGCACAGTATTTATTTTGGTATATTTATTCTGTGCTTACATATTGAAGAAAATGCTTTCTGTATCACAAAATTTAAAAACAAAAAAAAGTTGAAGAATGTTTTTTTTCATAAAAAGAACCATCTTTCTGATTAGAAAGAGAGCTGGGGATATGCTTTCTAGTAAGAAAAAAGTTAAAAATTTCTCCTCCGGCTGGAACACATCTCAGTCCTGGGACGACCCCAGAGCAACCCACAGGTTCATAATCTTTATGCCTCTCGCTTTTAGCAATCATTTGGTGAAATTATTTAATTGCGTATCAGCATTACTTTGTCCCTCCTGAGGTTTGTAATGACGTATCGGGGGAAGCGAGACAGAACCACTCTGCTGATTTCTGGCCATTAGTGTTATCTATCACAAGCAAAGATATGTATTTAAAAACTGTGTTTTATGGAGGGTTGAACTAACGTGACAAAATCCCACAATTATTACTACCTCCCAAGAAAAAGAGGAGTTTGAAGGCAGGAAGAGTTATTCAGAGGCTGAAAAGTCTCCTAATTGAAGAAAAAGATCTTGTGATGAAGCTTTCATGCTCCAACGCTGCTGGGGAAGGACCTTTTTTGGAGGAGCAGGGAAAGAGTTAACTCCGCCGGTCACCATTTGCACGCCTGCTGCAAGGTACAGTCCCAGCAGACACATTATCAGCTTAGGGGGAAAAGGCAAACAAACCCGAAATGAAACCATTCTCCAGCGAGTCCGGCCTCTTCTTCCTGTGATGTCACTGCTGCTAATTGCCTGAGCTCTCCTCTCTCCTCTCCAGAAGGAGCCGGGCTGGCGAGCGGCGCGGGACGCCGGGGCTCTGCTCTTGCAGGAACAAACACGCTCTGGAATTTGGTTTCTGCCCTCGCAAAGCAGCTCCCTTCCCGCCCCGTGGGGCCAGCAAATGCTCCAGGGGGGGAAAAAACAAGGTTCTTTTACAGAAAGAAAATCGGCAGAGGGAGAAATGCAAGCACTCACAGTCTGCAGCGTCCGGCACACGCTCCCAGCAAATTCAGAGGGACCAGACTTCGCCGCCGAGATTCGCAGCCAAGAATAAGGCAGAAAGTTCTACGACGGCTCCATCAAACCGTGGTGAGGGTTGGGAGGGGGGAAAAAATGGAAGCGAGCAAGCTTTGGGATGACCTCATCTGCCACAAATGATAGAGGTTTTGACTTTGGAAGGCTGGCGATGCGATTACAAATAGCGCTCGGACGAGAAGAGTGACCTGCTGGAGATGTGCTCCCCTGCTACAGCTGGCCTTTCTTCCCTGAAGCTTTACCCTCCCACCAACTGATCAGAGCACACGGTTCAAATACTGCTGCAAGTTCTTCCAGAATTTAAAAAAAAAAAAAAAAGTTGCAATAAAAATACCAGAGAAACCTCCAAATCACGGGAATTTTAAACATACCATTATAATGGTAAGCTCTAACTGTTCCACTGATGACTCCTTTAAATATACTTTGTACGGGTGTATCTTTAGCATGGTGTTTGTCCTCGGCCTCATAGCAAACTGCGTGGCTATCTACATTTTCACTTGCACATTAAAACTGCGAAATGAAACCACGACTTACATGCTTAATTTAGCAATATCGGATCTGCTTTTCGTGTTTACGTTGCCCTTCAGGATTTATTACTTCGTAGCAAGGAACTGGCCGTTTGGAGACATCCTTTGCAAGATTTCCGTCACCCTCTTTTATACCAATATGTACGGGAGCATTTTGTTTCTGACTTGCATCAGCGTGGATCGCTTTTTAGCCATAGTGCACCCCTTTCGGTCTAAGGCTCTCCGAACAAAAAGGAACGCCAAAATCGTCTGCGTGGCAGTATGGATAACCGTGTTAGCAGGCAGCACCCCAGCAAGCTTCTTCCGATCTACAAACCCCCATAATGATACCAAACACAACTCGTGCTTTGAAAACTTTTCGGAGGACACGTGGAAAACCTACCTATCCCGGATCGTTATCTTCATCGAAACCGTTGGGTTTTTTATTCCACTCATCTTGAACGTGACCTGCTCCACTATGGTCTTGCGGACTCTGAACAAACCCTTTACTTTAAGTCGGAATAAATTAAGCAAGAAAAAGGTGCTCAAAATGATTTTTGTCCATTTGGTGATATTCTGCTCTTGCTTTGTGCCTTATAACGTTACCTTAATACTTTACTCCCTCATGAGAACACAGACCTGGATTAATTGTTCAGTGGTAACTGCAGTCAGGACTATGTACCCCATCACCCTGTGCATCGCCGTTTCAAACTGCTGCTTTGACCCCATAGTCTATTACTTTACATCGGATACAATTCAAAATTCAATAAAAAAGAGCCGGTCCACGAAAACACGGGACATCAGATTCTCCGAAAGGCCAGTTTCAGAAAACTTCATTCAACACAGCCTTCAGACCATAAAAACGAAAATATCTGACAGTGACTCTACAATATAAACTGTATTAAAATACTACTGGGACTGAACTGGAATCAGAAGCCTGCACATTTCTTCAGCTGTGGAAATATATTCTGATATATAAATATTATGCTTCCTTCACATCAGAAAAGTTTGTGATAAGACTGTAAAAGCGTTAAGCATAATAGGAAAAAAAGTATTTTACACAGAAAAAGTATTTTAAGAATTTATGTCAATGCCTGTTCCGACGGGTTGTATGTTAGCAAAGAACTTTTGGTTTCAGATTCGGTTAACCAAAGTCCAAAGACTGTCTGTTCAGTCAAAAAACGAATAAGAAGTTGGTGGTTTTTTTCTGAAGTTAAAACATTTGCTCATTTTTTATAATGATACAGGTTTCCAAGTTATGGATGGGGGTGAAACTACCTGGTTTACACTGCAGGATCTAGTTTGAGGCAAACAGCGTCATATTCATTATGTCACTTTAGTTACTGTGTCTGCTCTGGAGTTTCCTCGTCTCTTCCTATCCTCCTCCTCCGGGGTGAAACTACCTGGTTTACACTGCAGGATCCAGTTTGAGGAAAACAGCATCATATTGATTATGTCACTTTAGTTACTGTGTCTGCTCTGGACTTTCCTCGTCTCTTTCTATCCTCCTCCTCCTCTCTCCTGTCTCCCTGCCTGCACCTTCCTTCTTAAAGACCGTTTTGCTCATAGGAGGCTTCAAGGACTTAACTTCTCCCAGGTTTGTCTGATAAAATACATGCTCTCTTCACAAGCCTGGCCCCCATAAAGCAATTAAATCTTCTGGTAGTTTAGGGCATCTGGAAACAACTCTGACAAACTGGTTTTTCTTCTCACCTCTGTCTCAGATGTCTGTGTAATTATAGCAAAATAACCTGATGACTGAAGTTAGTGCTTTTGGTACAGTACCGCTTTATTAAACTCTTTTGTGAGAAGTTCTTCAGCTCAACATGACTTCTGAGCAAAATAACATCCTCCAAATAAGGTAATTTAATCTCAAAGTAGTAGTTGCTTAGAAAAACATGACCTTTGCTAACTAGAAATGAGCACGTGTATCAACCCAGATATTTCTTCTAGGAAATTATTTGGTGTCCCATAAAGAAATTCAAGACACAGTAACTTTTAGAGTGAAACTTCCTCTCAGGCTTTGAGTCCTAGAAATATTTTTAACATGAGAATTTAAAATTTCAAATGTTATTTTCCTGGAAACTTTATAAAGTATAAAAATAAATTCCTTGGGGTTACATGTTGGCAAAATTAATTGAGACACTTTGAAAAGTCAAAGGTATGTAAAAGAATTCTACATCTACTACTGTTACAAACAGGAATATATAGATCGAAGTGCTTTAAAACTTCCTGTTATGTATGTTTCCCAGCTGTTAGAACATTGTGTACATTTTCCTCAAAGTTAACTTAACATTGCTGTAAAATTAAATAAATATCTAAAAGGTAAAAGTAAGTAGTAAGTGTTGGTTTTTCCTCCCCCCCAAAAAAATGCAGTAAAGAGTAAGAACTGAGTTAAAATGAGTTTGCACTTCAGATTTAGGGCAGTCGGTTGCAACACAGATATAGCATTGAGACATTTTTACTTCAGGGCAGTATATGGAAGCGCGTATCAATGTTGGAGAAAACACATATTGAGCTGTCAGAGTCCGCAATACGTTATATGACTGATTTTACTTCCCTTTGCAAAGCTTTTGCTTAATTATTATAAATCAACTGTACGTTGCCTAATGTTACTGGAAAACTGAGTTACTCAAAGACTGCTAAAACTAATGCCAATTGAATTTTAAATTTAACAGCATTTTAAATCTTTATCCACATCACTTATGAAAGGAAAAGTCAAATTGCTTGAGCTTAAGCTACAGAGATAGCATAGATATAAACGTCTGCATAATATCTGAAAATAGGCAATTAGCTTAGTTGGGACTCCTAAACTCTTCTGATTCATATGTGACTTCAGAAAAATGCACAAAACCCCCAGCATGAGTAGAAATTCCGTATGTTTTCCACATGCCACTGACAAACCCAAAGTCACTTGCAAATCTAAAGCTCAAAAGCCAGATACGCATCTCTACTGTCTCAACGCATCTCTCTCTAAAAAGCCTGTTTAATATTAGACTCCCTCCAAAGACTTTGAGACGAAAGCCCTGGATGTCACTGCTGGGCAATGTTTGCTGTCCCCCAGCTCAGCAAAGCTGTTGCTCAGCTGAGTGACAACTTATTCAGCAACGCCTCTGCCTTACAGCAGCAAACACCCCTCGAGCCTCACCCTAGTAAAGAGAAGCCACTCTTTCTGAGATTGCAAAACTGCCAAAAAAAAAAAAAAAATCGAAAATAAAAATCACTGACTTAAAAGCAGAACAAGCAAATGAAGTTGCATGTCTGCATACTCCTCTTTAAACCAGATTTTCCTTGGTGTATTGGCTCAAAGAGCCTGGGGAGGGATGAAGCAGTAGCTCGCTCTGCCTTGCACTCACACTCCGGGGCAGCAGCTTTCTTGCTTTTTTAAATAGCGTCGTACACCACAGTACAACACCTTTCCGACCAGTTAACAGCTTGATATCTTGAAACTGTTGGAGGAAGCTTTATATTTTTTTATGTCTTGCTTTTTTAAATAGCGTCGTACACCACAGTACAACACCTTTCCGACCAGTTAACAGCTTGATATCTTGAAACTGTCAGAGGAAGCTTTATATTTTTTTATTTATGTTTTTTTATTAAACATACTTCACTCTTTCCACAGGAAAAAAACAAAGAAACCCCGATCTAAAACAACCCCCAAAAAGAACAGGGTCAAAAAAGCAACAGCTGTAATTCAGAGAATCTGACCATTACTTGAGACATTCCTGATCTGCCTGATTCACAAGCCAGGGAGTGAACCCGTACCTCCCACAAGAAGCTGATATAAAGCCAAGCTACCAGCTTTTCAGCACTGAATGAGGTTTTCTCCACCTTTTCTGGTTCTGCAACAGGATTATCCTGGAGAGCTGTGGATGGACCAACGTTTTCACTGGTACATTCCTGAATAGCTACACTCCTTCGCTCTGCTCCTGCCTTTGATACCAACTCTTCTGATCCCTGGTAAGAGCTTATCCCCAAATTTAAATCTAGATGAGGAGTTATGCTCTTAAGTCATGCTTAGGCATCTCAAATAAGAGGGGCTTAGGTTGCCAGAGCTCCCGAGCACCTGAAACTGTTGCATCCACTACTTCCTAAAAGTACATTATCTTCACTCAAACACCTATGCAGGGGGAAGTTAGGAGTTCAGTTCGAGGATCAAAACTTACAGCTTTGTTCTTTGTAGTCTGGTTTCTTCATCTACAGAGTGCAGATACTGCACACTTACCATAAAAATAAAAGCTGTGAAAATTCTGTTGATTCAAGTATTTTTTTGATCTGAACCAAGGTAGGCAGCCATTGATAACTAGATAATTAACCAGGAGTTTCACAAGACAAGGGAAAAGAAACAAACTTTCTATCAACACATCTGATTTGCCTCAACATACCATTACTTTAAAAGCAAAAGATGTCTCATTTTATACTTTCTAAATTCAGCTTGAAATTTTAATTTCTGGCTTTCTCAGGAACAGAACGCAAGTTAAAATTTCTTTCACTCAGCATATAGCTCTTTGACATTTAAAGAAACAGCAAGTCAAATACATCTTTATATTTTTCACCTAGAAATGCTTTTAAAAAACTCCATAGGTGATACTTTACGCAGGTAAGAAGTCCTTAACTGGGATTAACCTCTGAACTTCTATTTCTTAAGAAAGTAACCTCAGTCACAGAAACGCAAAAAGACCTCGGGAGATCAGGCAGAAGATATGAGTGGCTGTACTGTATCAGACCCCAAACATTCAGCTCATCTGCAATCCTGTCTCAAACAGTGGCCAAGGCTGGAGGCCTGGGGAAGAAGATAACAGCAGGAAAGGCTTACAAGGTTTTCTCTTGCCCAAGTTCTGTCCCACTTCACCAGTTGTATCTCAGGTCTTTCTGGGTCAGATGTGTTTGTGTTTTCAGCAACACTAAGAATTTTTCTTCTGTGAGCTTGTCCTTTTGAACTCATGCAAACTTTTTAACATCCACAGCATTCTGCAGGAAAAAGTTCACAGTGGAGGGGGAACAAACTTAAAAAAAACACCAAACAAATGAACAAAAAAATCCCCTCCGTTTGTTTCAAATCCACTAGTTTCATTACTGCCTCCTAATTTCTTTTGGAAGAGCCAAGCACCACTTGATTGCCATTCAGCCTTTCCATATCACTCCTGATTATACAGCTTTTCTGTCATCTCTTGCAAATGAGAAAGTGACTTTCATTTGTAATTTCAACCACCGTCATTGCCACAAATCAGATTCTCAGAATTCCATAAAGAATTCAGCTAAAATTACAGTGAACCCAGCAAAGTTCACTTCAACACTGAAAATTTTGAAAATCCCACTTGAGCGTAGTATCCTCTAGCATTATTTATTCTCCAAAGTTATTTTCTAGGAATTTTATCAATGAAGAGCAAGTTCATAATTTTTCAGCAGTAAATGTAATATTATAAGGTTCTTGCACCTGGGCAGACTTGTAAATCCTGACAAGGTCCCTTCTTTGCCAGACTATTATAATTTATACCTCAGGGTTACTGCCATTTGAGCATCACTGACAAAATGGAATAGGATACAATTTGTTTTAGCTTTTGAAATGTAAGTCAGAATGATTCTAAATCCAGACGTTGTAAATACCTGGACTGCATTTGTTACCAATTATCAGAGTACTGAAAAAAAACTGTATAAATACAACTGAGAGTCACTGAATTAGCACGTTTTCAGAGAAAACAGAGCTCATTTAAGATGAATGCAAATTCAGAAAGCCACATCTGCACAGTCAAATACTTCTGCAAGAAATCGGATGGAGAAGTTTGTTCTAGTCCTCTAATTCTGCTTTGACACTGAAACCTTTCACATTTATCATCCCCCTCTTCCCCCCCCCATCCAGTTCCTGTTATACAATTAACTGCTTGTAAAGCAAGCCCGGTTTTCCCGTAAGAAAACTCAACACAAAATTCAAATAAACAAAAAGAACCCTGCACACATCATCTGGTCTTCTATAAAACCTACAATTTTGCTGGAAAACTCCAGAACTGAGAATTGAGATTTAAAATTATTTTTTTCTTATTTAACAAGCAGTCTGTCCACTCTAGTTATAACAAACCTAAAAGCTGTCCTGCACTAAGAAGGAATAAGTTTCCTAAAGTTTAAAGATAAGAATCAAAAAACACAAGCAATGACAAAGGAAGGCCTCTAATAAGAAGTTCCTGTCTTTTAATGAAGAGATAAAAGAATACTTTTCCACACATAGAGCTTTAAGATTTGCTCTAACTCCACCTTTTTTAAACAGTGAGTTCCCGGCTTAAACAAAAAAAAAATTCTTAAATAACAATACTAGTAACAGGAGGCAGACAAAATTAATGCCATACATCTAATCTCACACGAAGACAACTGTGGCTATGCTAACTCTCC